ACGCACAGCACGAGGCCCTCCCCCGCAGAGGTGCGGAAACACCCGCAATCGCCCGGCGGCGTGTCTGGCACGGGGGCCCACGTTCCTCACCAGCTCCCTGTGCAGCCTGCCCTCCAGTGCCCGCCGAGGGCCCGGCCGAGGCCCAGGGAACACACAGCGGCACCGCTTCCAGCGACGACCAAATCCTGCTCCCGGGGTGATCATGGAGCCCCCCACACCCCACAAGTGGTAATATATAGAGAGATTTTCATGGAGTCTGACTGACCTCACGGGAGGAACCTGCAATCCACTGTTTCCAGAGGCTCAGGCCATGCCCTTGGGGTCAGCCCCCGACACCCCAAGGGATCGTCCACCCGTGGGAGGAGGCACCTCCAGGCCTTTGCTGCTTGCTGGGCCAGTGTCAAAGGGCAGGACCTTTCCAGTAACCACACAGACGGGCCGATGTCTGAGCCCCTGCCTGCCACTCCGGCCCCCGCAGCCGCCCGGGAGCATCTTCCTGCAGCTGCCGGACCCGGGACTAGGAGGCCCCAGGGACAGGCCGCCCCGACCAGCAGGTGCGAACCAGCAGGACGGGCGGCGTCTCTGAGAGGACATCCCGAGGGCAGGAGGACGCACAGGGTCACGCGCCCCAGACGTCACGCGCTGACTCACCCCGACCCCGAGGTCTCTTCCCACAGCTCAGGGTCCTTCTCTGGCCCCGGCTCCAGCTCAGCTACCGGCTCAGCCCTCCCGCGTCCCTGCTCCTACTTGGACAGAGGATCAGCTCGTGTTGATCATGGGATCATGGAGAGAGCCAGATATCTCAGCCCGTCCGTGGCAGACAACGTATTTCATTTACGGTATCTTGACGTGGTTTAATTACAAATAAATGAAGATTCATCTCTGAGTATCTGATCTCTACTCTGCGGTTTCTTATAATTAGGGGTGTGGCGAGTGCACTCTCCCCTGAGAAGCTTCTAGAAAAGACCAGGAGGCACAGCTCAGCTCCCAGGGGCCCGGGGGCTCCGCGTAGACACGTGACGAGGAGCATAAGAGCAGGAGGTCCCTGCCCCGCCCAGAACCGGGTCCTCGGCCCGCAGGCAGCACCGACCCCGGGGAGCAGCTGGAGGCCCCTCCGAGCCCGCGGTGGACTCAGCCCGCGACCCGCCGGCCCCGCAGACGCCCCAGGCCCCGCCTCAGGGTGCCGGCTCTGAGGCGACCAGGTGAGAGGCCATGGCCGTGTCCCCTCCTCTCTGACCTGACCGGCCCCTCCTTCCCGAAGGCCCCCCATCCTCAGGCCCATCCCAGCTGCCCCAAAGGGCAGGGCACCCCGTGGGTGCAGGGCCTGTGTTGTCCTGGGCGTTCTCCCTCCTCTGCCTGCTGATGGAGACTCGGTCTTTCCGGTCTCCTGGCTGCTGGTGTTCGCTGCCGCGAGCAGCCCTCCGGGGAGTGGTTTCCTCTCTCTGACTACGGCCCAGGCGAGCCCCGCTGCCCGGTCCTTAAAGAGCCTGCACGGCGCGACCGCGGCCTCGCTCACACTCCCCACGGCGCTCGGGGCCTGTCTGTGCAAACACACTTTAGAGGTTCCCGTCATTCTCAGCCACAGGTCGAGGTGGGCAGGGGCCTAGACCACCAGATCACTAAGGGGGGGCCGCACCCCGGCCCTTAGAGCCTCAATGGAAAGAAACGGACGGCCCCAGCCAAGACGCGCCTCTTCCTTCGGGAGCTGAACTTGAGCCCAGCACCGGCTCTTCCCTGGGCTGTGGCCACGGGTGGGCTGGACTCACCCCTGCAATCAAGAGAGGCACTTCCTTCAATACACCTGGAGGGTGGTGGGTGGAGGGTGGGTGGAGGGTGGGTGGTGGGTGGGTGGGTGGAGGGTGGTAAAGGATGGGGGGTGGGTGGAGGGTGGGTAGGTGGAGGGTAAGTGGGTGGTGGGTGGAGGGCGGGTGGAAGGTGGTGAAGGGTGGGTGGTGGGTGACAGGTGGGTGGGTGGAGGGCAGGTGGAGGCTGGTGAAGGGTGGGGTGGGTGGAGGGGGCGGGTGGACACATGACAACATGGACGACAGAATGACGGGGATGTGGTCATGTAAACGCAGAACACATGCATTGCACTTAGAGTACACTCACACGTGTCATCCAAAATTCTGCCCCCTCCACACATGCACACACATGCACGCACACGCACACACAGTGCCCAGGGCTGGAGCTGGGCCCAGAGGCCTGTCCGCAGGGAGGGTGCTCACGCGGGCGTGCGGGGCGCTGCTTCCTCTCGCACGCCCGTGGCTGGGTGAGCAAAGCCTCCGCCCCGATGTTCTCAGAGACTGTCGTGGGCAGGCGTGGGGGTTGGTGCTGGGAACCCCATCCTCTTGGGCTCCTCCTCCTACCCAGGTGTCCCTGGCTCCAGGCGTGGCAGTGGGGGGCGGGGAGCACAGCTGCCGGGACCCAGAGGAGGGCAGCCCGGACCCTGCCAGGAGGGCAGCACTGACCCCGGGAAGAGGGCGGCCTCAACCCCGCCAGGAGGGCAGCGCTGTCCCGCCCAGCGCGGAGGGAGGGCACAGGCAGGGGGGCAGCAGCCTCCACGCCCCGGGCCTGCGCGCTGTCCCCGCAGAGCGGCCACGTCAGCCTGAGGCTCCGGGGTCCCCTGGAGTCCCGGGATTGGGGATCTGGGGACCCGGCTCGAGGAGTGAGGACCCCGGGGCCTGTGCCCGTGGGGGGCGCAGGGGGCCTGCGGGCGAGGCCTCACTCTCTCCCCTCAGGACAGGGCTGTAATGGAATCACGAGTGTCCCCAAATGCAGGTGTTTCTTGTCAGACCCCAAGCGGCCAGTGGGCTCCGGGGCGCGGGGACGTGGCTGGCCAGGCTGTCGGGGCGGGGGTGCAGGGGAGGCCGTGGAGACCGTGCCTGCGCCCACGGGGCCGCCCGCCGGACCATCCACCTGCGAGTGTGCCGGGTCGGGGAGACCCCGGCTCGGCCAGGCAGTGTTTCGGTTCCCCTGGCCCAGCCGAGCCCAGCAGCGATAGGTCATGGCAGGCCGGGGCCAGCGCCCAGTGGGCCCTCGGCGATGGCCTCAGGGAGCCCGGCGGGGAAGGGCCCGCGGCCTGCAGCCAGGAACCAGCGGGGACGCCGCGTCCACTGCAGAGCCAGGCCCCGCGGTGCGGGAGCCCGTGGACCGGGTGGAGAGTGGGGGGCAGCGGGTCTGCGGCTGCTGCACTGGGGAGCCTGGCCCCGCGGGTACTGGTGAAGGGGGACGGCGGTGCGTGTGGCGCCCCTACAGGGCCCACGTGCAGAGGCCGCCCCTTCCAGGATGGGGGCGCAGGGCCCGAGGCCGGCTCCTCGGGCCGGTCGCTGACTGTGACAGAAACAGTTTTTCACCTCAAAGTTTCTCAGTGATGTCTGTGGGTCAGTGTCAGCATCTAAGGAAGGTCAGCGCAGCCGGGCCAGACCCGGGGCAGCGAGAGCTCGGAGGGGGCTGCAGCCCTGGGCGGTCGTAGCCCCCATCCCCGGCATCGCCCCTTCCCAGTGGTGCTGGGGTCCACTCCGGCCCCCTACGTTGCGAATGGATGCGGCATCGAAGGAAATAGCGGGTGTGAAAATGTCAAAGCTTTACCGTGCTGGTTTTGGTGATAAATTTGTAAATTAATTTGTGGTCGAATGGACGTGCCCGCGACACATCCGCTCGCAGGTGCGCTGCGTCTCGCGCCGAGATCTCAAGCTCATCTTTTCAACAGGACCCGGAGCAATAATTCTGTGCCGGCCTCAGCGCGCCGTCCAGCTGGAATCATAAATAAAATTCCAGCGGGGACAGAGAAGGGGCACCCGAGGGGCCGGCAGAGGCTGGGCAGAGGACCCGCATCTCCGACGACGGCCTGAGGAGCCCCCAGAAGAGGACCCTGCGGCTCTGTAGTGGGGGCCCACAGAGTGCGGGTCAGAGGTGGGCGCCCCAGGAATCACCTAAGGGCAATGAGCTGTGAGAGGAGCCGGGGTTAAGAAGACCATGGGCCAGGGGGGCCACAGAGGGGCCCCAGGGATGACACAGGACACAGGTGGCATCTGGGACAGAGATGGGGTCACGGTGATGCTGGGGTCATTTCCAGGACGAGTGTCCGGAACAGATGCTGGACTCGAGCTAGTGCCCGCCGTGCTGATGCTCAGATCCAGGGCCCAGTGGGGTGGGTTGTGTCCTCCCCAACAGCTGCACCCCCAGGTGCCCACGCCTGGCCTCCTGGAGGGACAGTGTCGCACAAACCCCTCTGGGCCCGGGTTCTGCGGGGGTGACGGTCAGTGATCATGGAATTGAATCAAAGCAATTAAGTCTAATTCTTCAATGAAGACATACCAGGGAGAGGACTAAGATGTTCCATGTACTACCTGAGAAGGACTGGATCAGGGTGCGAGAGGGAGCACCCAGTCTTGCCCTGGTACCCATGGAAATCTCACACTCGGGAGTCATTATGCTGGGTGTGGGGGCGGGTGGTGTCCGAGGGACTGTGCTGGAGCAACGCGGCAGCTCTGATGCTCAGTTTAAGCCTTATGAACGGGTAAGACACACAGACATGGGCGACATTTCTGTGTCCAGATTATGATCTTATTAATACTCAGTCTTTATTAAATGTTCTTTCAGTTTTTAATATTTTTATATTGATCAAAAATGTGCAGGACCCTGCAGGGAAGAGGCGTGTGGAGGAGCCGAGCCGAGGGAGACCTGACCCCGGGACTGCAGGACCCAGCCTGGTGCAGCCAGTGAGGGGCGCCGGCCCAGGCTCTGTCCGGGCCCTGGGGAGACGGGGCAGGACCTCTCGGGGCTCAGGAGAGACTGGACCCTGGTTGGGACGGCCCAGCTGTAGGGGCTGTGTCTGGGTGGACAGCAGGTCCTGGGGTCCCCCCATCGGCTCCCCTGGTCCTGGCCCCGAGTGTCGTGCGGGGTCTGCTGCTGAGTTGGGGCAGGGACACCCCCTGACCTCAGAGGCACTGGCCCCTCCCCCCTCTCCGTCCACAGGGTGAGCCTGCCCAGGGCCAGCGATGGCGGCTGTGCCCTTAGACCCCAGCCTGGGGGTCCCTCCCACCCCGGGGACCTGGTCATCAGGCTCAGGTGATGGGTCTGGGTTTCAGCCCATGGGACGACCTGATGCGCCTCAACTCTCCTACCCGATACTCTCTTTGCCAGAAATACTAAAATTGGAAAACGAAACGGTGAACGGCAGCCGCGTGGAGATTTCGCCGCTGATTTCCCTTCCCTTCAACGCGGTCTCCCTGCTGACCCTCCTGGTGGGCCTGTGCGGCCTGGCGGGGGACGGGGCCGTCATCTGGCTGCTGGGCTTCCGCGGGAAGAGGACCCCCTTCTCCGTCTACATCCTCCACCTGGCCTGCGCCGACGCCGCCTTCCTCGCGGGTCTGTGCGCGCAGCTCTCGCTTTACCTGGCGGGTTGCCACGAGCGCCTGCTGGACCACCTGCTGAGGGCGGTGCTCGTCCCTTCGTACCTGGCGGGGCTGGGCCTGCTGGTGGCCGTCAGCGCCGAGCGCTGCGTCTCCGTGCTCTGGCCCCTCTGGCACCGGTGCCGCCGGCCCGCCCGCCTCTCCTCCGTGGTGTGCGGCCTCATCTGGGCGCTGTCCCTAGGCCTGGGGGTCCTGGGGGTCCTGTGTGACGACTACGTTGGGTTCTCATGTAGGGAGATCTCGCTCATCTATTACGGGGCGTCGGCCATCACCTTCCTGGGGCTGTGCGCGTCGGGCCTGACGCTGCTCGTCCGCGTCCAGTGCGGCCCCTGGAGGCGCCGGCCCAGCCGGCTCTACGTGACCCTCCTGCTCAGCGTCCTGGCCTTCCTGCTGCTCGGGCTGCCGTACGGAGTGGTCCACATGTTCCACGCCCTCTCCCCATCCATGCCCTACGGTTACATCCTGCTGCCCGTCTGCCACCTCCTCTCCGCCCTGAACTGCCTGGTGAACCCCGTCATTTACTTCTTCGTGGGGAGCCACGGGCGGCGCAAGGGCAGAGCCCCCCTCCGAGACGTGCTCCAGAGGGCGCTGAGGGATGAGGAGGAGGGGCCTGAGCAGAGCAGCACCTCCGTCTCCAGAGAAATCGAGGTGTCCCCCTGAGCCCCAAGATCTTGTCTGTGGACTTACAGTGTTTAGAGATCTGTCATCCTGGGCATTTTGCAAAAATTCTTGGGGAGAACAAAACTCGGGTGTATGGGCCTCCCTGGTGACACAAGGGGTTAAGCACCGCACTATGTGGCCATCCGCGGCCTCTGCAGCACGAGGTTGATCCCTGGCCGGCCAGAGAAACCACAGGGCGCAGCAGACTCTCCTGTCTCCCCGCGGCTCCCCTCAGCAGTGTGTTTCAGTCCGTCCGCCCGTTCTGCTCCCCACTCTGTCTCTGGTGAGTCCCCTCACCCTCCCCTGCCTCTGGCCTGTCCCCCAGCTCTTGGATGCATAAATAAATCTTAAAAAAAAAAAAAACACTTCTGTGTAAAAATGAGTAAAACTGGGCCTCCCCAGTGGCACAGCAGTTGAGCGCTGGGCTGTGAAGCTGCCCGCAGACTCTGCAGCGCCGGTTCGATCCCCGGCTGCTCCCCGGCCACCGGAGGAGGGTCCCACATGGCGCGCAGACCTCTCCTGCCGCCCGCTGCTCCCCTCAGCAGTGTCCTTCGGTCCTTCTGCCTGCTCTGCTCCCCGCTCTGGCTCTGGTGAATCCTCTCACCCTCCCGCGCTTCTGACTGTGCCCAGGGCTTGTATAAATAAATAAATCTTTAAAAAAAAAAAATGAGTAAAACTCCTCATTTGTCTCTGAAGCAAACTGCTCCCAGGGTCATTTCTTTAACCCCCATTGATCTTCCTTCTAGAAGCTTCCTCCTGCGGACGGCCCGTGCTGGGAAGGGGAGAGCCCGGGCTCGGGACAGGCCCTCCGGTCAGCTCTGCCTCTCGCTGTGAACTGGCCACCAGCGCGGGGTTTGTACCCGACTCGCAAAGTAAAGCGGCCGCGTGCCCCGCGGTCCTCCCGTGCGTCTGCAGAGCCGTCTCCCGAGGGCCTGACGCCCGCGGTCCCTGGACGCTCTGGGCCGCGGCCGGGCGCTGCAGGGCCTCGCCAGGAAAGGCCAGGGAGCCGGTGCCGAGAGTTCAGACCAAGGCCTCCACCTCTGCCTCTGGGCATCCCCCACACTCTGCTGGGGCCACGAGACCCCTCCCGGGCTCTGCGGGCTGAGGGGGCACAGCTCGGGCAGCGCGGAGGCGGGCGGGTGGCGTGTCCTTCAGCAGAGGGTGTGAGCGGATAAGGGCCAGCGATGGCCAGAGAGGCCCGGCAGAGGCAGGGCAAGGAAAGGACGTGATGACGCTCGCCTGGCCCGCCTGGCCCACCTGGGCACCTGACCGAAGTGTGTTTTGCAGCCGGGGTTGGCGAGGCCCTTTGCAGGTGGATAATGGGGTCTCTGTGGGGGAGGTGACCCCGTCGGGAGCACAGCGCTCAACAGCAGCTCAGGGATCAGACAGTGCTGGATGCCAGAGGCTTCAACTCTGCACCTTCTTCTCCGACTCTGAGGCTCAGCGGGCAGCCCCTGGGCCTGGAGCTGGCACAGAGGCCCCTTTCTGCAGGGGGCACCCAGAGCACTCGTGTCCCCTGCCCAGCAGCTGCCCGGTGCTGGGAGAAGCAGCATCAGCCCCATCGGGAGCCGCTGTCCCCTGGCAAAGGGACCCACCCAAACGCGGAGGCTCCAAATAGACGGGCAGATTTCAGGACCCCTGTTCCTCAGCATCACGGCCGCAGGGGACCACACCTGCCAGGGGCTGACAGGGTCCCGCAAGTGGACACAGTCCTCGCCCTGCTCCTCCCCAGGGCAACTCCCTGGAGTCCCTGAGGGCTCCGGCTGAGTGCTGGGCGAGGCCGCCGTCCTCTCCCTCATGTTCTGCCTCAGGGTCCATTAGACGCATCCCTGATGCTCCCTCCCGGGAGGGGCAGTAATGGGCTGGTTCGGTAACTCCCCGAGCAGGTCTTGGTTCAGGGGTTGTGCATCGGCTCCGCGGGGTCTCCTGGAGGCGCCAGAGGGGGATTCAGGCTGGTCTGGGGTGAGGAGTCAGGGTCTCCAGGGGAGTGTGACGGGGATTCGTGTGTCATGTTGGTATTTGCAGGAATGTTGCTTGATTCTCCTCATTTCCACTCATGATCGCGTGAAAGGAGGAGACTGTTAAAAGGAAAGGAAATGGAAATAAAATCTAACCAAGCCCAGAGCCCGTGACGTGACGATGCATGAAGCTGGCAGACGCACCCCGGGCGGCCCGGGCTGAGGCCCCTCCCGGCTGAGCGGCAGCAAGGGGGGCCTTGACCTGGGCGGGAACGTCCTCAGAGGTCCAGGCCGCAGCCGCCCTGGGCCCGCCGTGGGGTCGCAGCGCAGCTCTGGGGGCGCAGCACAGCTCTGCTCTCCGCTCTCCGGCCGCGGCGATCCCGTCCCCCCGCGCAGCGCAGGACGAAGCTGCCCCGGAGCCTCCGGGCGCCCCGGGCCTTTATCTTTCCTTGCGCCCCCCACGGACACTCGGGTGCAGAAATCCTTCCTGCTGTGCGTCGTCCTGGTCTCCCCGTCCCGGCCTCGAAGCTTCTCTCTTTCCAAACGTTTCCTTTTCTCACCGAGAAATAATAATTGAAATTCATCCTTTATTCACCTGCTTTGATCTATCATGTCACACGGCAGCGACGATGGCGACGTCCCGCTGGCACGATGGACAGTCCCGGGTCTCACCTGTACCGCCCAGGGTCCCGCCCCCCCGGACCCCAGAACCTCCCCAGCACGCGGCCCCCTTTTTCAGATCCCCGGGGTCTTCCCGCTGAGGGGCGTCTGCTCCTCTGTCCCGATGCCGGCCCCGCGCGGGCACGACGCCCGCGGCTCTCTCTGTCCGCGTCCCCCACGGCGCTGCGCTACCCCCCAGGGGGTCCCTCTCCGCAGGCACCTGGGCGTGGGCGCCTTCTCCTGGCCGAGCCGTGCTCCCGGGGCAGCGGCCCGCTCCCCGACCTGGGAAGGCCCGTGGGCCGAGCCGAGGCTGAGCCAGAGGCCGCGCCAGAGACAGGCGTCGCCCCAGCAGCGTGCCAGCTGTCCGGAGTGTCAGGACGGGGTCCCCAGGCGACAGGGCGGACCTGGGAGGACCCGGTACTGGCGGGAGTTGGGCAGGAGCAGCCCCCTGGGCTACACATCCCCTCCTGCCTGGCCTCCGTTGGAAAGCACCCTGGAGGGGACGGGGGCTCCCCAGGAACACAGGCGTGAGAGGCGCTCTCTGCCCTCGGCTGCAGGTCTGTCCCGGGGGAGGGGGCGGCCGGCCCAGGGGCCCCCACTCTGCTGAGCGTCCAGGCCTGTCCTGCCCGGCTCCTCACTGACCATCAGGCCCCCGGCTCCTTCCCGGCGGGGCAGGCATGGGCCACCGCGGGGCGGGCGCCGCTCTCGGGGGGACACCGTCCTGGAAACACTGGTCGCTCCTGCTGCTCTGAGCCCGGGTCGGGGATGCTCCGCGCTCAGCTCCTGCGCCTCCGCGGCCTCCGGTGAGGCTCGAGGGGCTCCGGGCGTGTGGTGTCTGGCCCGCGGCTCCAGGTGCCCGCAGCGCTCTTCAGGGTGACGCGTGATTCGCTGCCGACTGTGGGGACCCAGGAACTCCGGGCGCTGGGCACATGCAGGGGCCTCGCTGCCCGCGCCCTCGCCTCCGCCCGCGGGAGAATGTTCTCGGCCCCTCCTGGAACTCAGGCCTCTCCGGGGTCCGGGCCCCCCGGGGACACTTTTCCCTGCTCCAGCCCACGTGGGGCCACGGAGGCCCGAGAGAGGAGCGGGCGCCTGGGGCAGGTCCGGCGCTTCCCTCGCCCCCGCCACGCTAAGTCACCCGCCCGCTTGACAGCCCGGTCAGCTCCCCTGGTGGAGAGGGCCAGGAGTGGGCAGAGGTTTCCCAGCTCGGCGGGGCCGTGCCCACACGGGGAAGTGGCTGCTAGACTTGAGTGCAGACGCCATCCCGGCACCTGAGGCCGCGCTGCGGTTTCATGCAATTACGGGCAGGGGGAGGGCGCTCTCCCCTGAGAAGCTTCCAGAGAAGACCAGGACGGCACAGCTCAGCTCCCAGGGGTCCGGGGGCTCCGCGCAGACACGTGACGAGGAGCATAAGAAGAGGAGGTCCCTGCCCAGCCCAGAACCAGGTCCTCGGCCCGCAGGCAGCACCGACCCGGGGAGCAGCTGGAGGCCCCTCCGAGCCCCAGTGGACTCAGCCCTCGACCCGCCAGCCCCGGAGACGCCCCAGGCCCCGCCTCAGGGTGCCGGCTCTGAGGCGACCAGGTGAGAGGCCATGGCCGCGTCCCCTCTGCTCTGACCTGACCGGCCCCTCCTTCCCGAAGGCCCCCCACCCTCATCTGCAGGCTGGGTCTGAGGGTGTCCTTTCCTCTAGCCCCGCTGCTGTGGCTGTTCCAGGGCCGGGAGGAGGGTTGGGTTTGTTTGTTCCCTGGACATGGACAGGAGGACTCTGGGGACAGAGGCAGAGACCCCACAACCTCTGAGGGTCTTGGGGAACCCAAGGGCTCCCCGTTAGCACTGGACTCCAGCACTTTCTCTCCCCCTTGGCTTCTTACCCGTCCTGAGAGCAACCCGTGGACAGAAGTTGGGCTGGGAATGGGGTTAACTTGGGGTGTCCCAGTGGCTTCCCCAGAAAGGAAATGACATACGTCAGGTCGCTGTGAGGGGAACAAGGAGACGTGGAGACCAGGGGTCGGGGAACCCCAGAGGTCCCCTCAGAGGTGACGCAGGCCAGGGGGCTTCTGGGACAAGGTGGGCTCAAGGTGATGCTGGGGTCATTTCCAGGGCAAGTGCCCAGACAGATGCTGGACTCGAGTGAGTGCCCCCTGAGCTGATGCTCGGACACGGAGCCGCGTCGGGTGGGATTCGTGCCCCCAAAGAGCCTCACGCCAGATCCCTTGTCCAGCCTCCCAGAGGGTCGGTGTCACACGGAACCCCTCCGGGCCCAGGTGGCTGCGAGGGTGCCAGTGCTCGTGGGGCTGAGGGACGTCAGAATCAGTGGACTATTAACAGGCAGTGTTTTTCCGGGACGCTGCCGGCAAAGGACCCAACAGTGGGCGTTCAGGAGCGGCCCCCTCAGCAGCAAGGCTGGCGACACCGGGACCCGACGCCGGCCGGGGACACCGGGCGCTTCCGTGCATTCAGAGATGAGGCTGGGATACGTGAGTGTGTGTGAGTGTGAGTGTGTGGGTGTGAGGGTTCAAGTGTGTGGGTGTGCGTGTGTGGGTGTGAGTGTGTGGGTGTGCGTGTGCACCTGAGCCTGGTGTGCTGAGACCCCTGGTGTGAACACCCCACGCTGGTCTCACGACAGCAACACACTGAGGCTTTTGTCGCTGTGCTGAGGCAGATGTCACCGTGTCCGCAGCTCTCACGGGGGTTTAATGCGCTGTCCCTTGTCACCTGCTGTCACGCCCACAGGACCCTGCAGGGAAGAGGCGTGTGGAGGAGCCGAGCCGAGGGAGACTTGACCCCGGGACCGCGGGACCCAGCCTGGTGCAGCCAGTGAGGGGCGTCGGCCCAGGCTCTGTCCGGGCCCTGGGGAGTCGAGGCAGGACCTCTGGGGGCTCAGGAGAGACTGGACCCTTGTCAGGACGGCCCAGCTGCAGGGCCTGTCCACCTGTGGGTGGACAGCAGGTCCTGGGGTCCCCCTATCGACTCCCCTGATCCTGGCCCCGAGTGTCGTGGGGGTTCTGCAGCTGGAGTCGGGGCAGGGACGCCCCCCTGACCTCAGAGGCACTGGCCCCTCCCCCTCTCCATCCACAGGGTGAGCCTGCCCAGGGCCAGCGATGGTGGCTGAGCCCTCAGACCCCAGCCTGGGGCCCCCACCCACCCTTCGGACCTGGTCACCAGGCTCAGGCCCCTGGTCTTATTCTGACAACGGAACACAAACCAGCACATCCCGTGAAGAGCATCTCCAGGTCTATACCCATCTCGGTTACGCGGGCTCCCTGGTGACGGTGCTGGTCAGCGCGTGCGGCCTGGCGGGGGACGGGGCCGTCATCTGGCTGCTGGGCTTCCGCGGGAAGAGGACCCCCTTCTCCGTCTACGTCCTCCACCTGGCCTGCGCCGACGCCGCCTTCCTCGCGGGTGTATGCGTGAAGCTCTCGCTTTACCTGGCGGGTTGCCACGAGCGCCGCCACAAGCGCCTGCTGCATAACCTACTGAGGGTGGTGCTCGTCCCTTCGTACCTGGCGGGGCTGAGCCTGCTGGTGGCCGTCAGCGCCGAGCGCTGCGTCTCCGTGCTCTGGCCCCTCTGGCACCGGTGCCGCCGGCCCGCCCGCCTCTCCTCCGTGGTGTGCGGCCTCATCTGGGCGCTGTCCCTAGGCCTGGGGGTCCTGGGGGTCCTGTGTGACGACTACGTTGGGTTCTCATGTAGGGAGATCTCGCTCATCTATTACGGGGCGTCGGCCATCACCTTCCTGGGGCTGTGCGCGTCGGGCCTGACGCTGCTCGTCCGCGTCCAGTGCGGCCCCTGGAGGCGCCGGCCCAGCCGGCTCTACGTGACCCTCCTGCTCAGCGCCCTGGCCTTCCTGCTGCTCGGGCTGCCGTACGGAGTGGTCCACATGTTCCACGCCCTCTCCCCATCCATGCCCTACGATTACATCCTGCTGCCCGTCTGCCACCTCCTCTCAATCCTGAACTGCCTGGTGAACCCCCTCATTTACTTCTTCGTGGGGAGCCATGGGCGGCGCAAGGGCCTGGCCCCCCTCCGAGACGTGCTCCAGAGGGCGCTGAGGGATGAGGAGGAGGGGCCTGAGCAGAGCAGCACCTCCGTCTCCAGAGAAACCGAGGTGTCCCCCTGAGTCCCAAGATCTTGTCTGTGGACTTACAGTGTTTAGAGATCTGTCCTCTGGGGCATTTTGCAAAAATTCTTGGGGAGAATGAAACTCGGGTGTATGGGCCTCCCTGGTGACGCAAGGGGTTAAGCACAACACTGTGAAACAGTCTGTGGCCTCTGCAGCAGGAGTTTGACCCCAGGCCGGCCAGAGAAACCACAGGGTGCAGCAGACTCTCCTGTCTCCCCGCGGCTCCCCTCAGCAGTGTGTTTCAGTCCGTCCGCCCGTTCTGCTCCCTCCTCTGTCTCTGGTGAGTCCTCTCAGCCTCCCCTGCCTCTGGCCTGTCCCCAGCTCTTGGATGCATAAATAAATCTTAAAAAAAAAAAACTTCGGTGTAAAAATGAGTAAAACTGGGCCTCCCCAGTGGCGCAGCAGTTGAGCGCTGGGCTGTGAAGCTGTCCGCAGACTCTGCAGGGCCGGTTCGATCCCCGGCAGCTGGCGAGGGTCCCGCATGGCGCGCAGACCTCTCCTGCCGCCCGCTGCTCCCCTCAGCAGTGTCCTTCGGTCCTTCTGCCTGCTCTGCTCCCCGCTCTGGCTCTGGTGAATTCTCTCACCCTCCCGCGCTTCTGACTGTGCCCAGTGCTTGTATAAATAAATAAATCTTTTTTAAAAAATGAGTAAAAATCTCATTTGTCTCTGAAGCAGACTGTTCCCAGGGTCATTTCTTTAACCCCCATCGATCTTCCTTCTAGAAGCTTCCTCCCGGCTGTTATCTGACTCTCTCGCAGGTCCTGGTCTGCTCAGACGGGTCTCTCGGCGCCTGGCACGGGCCTCAGCCCCGCGTCCTCTGTCTGTCCGTCTGTCTGCTGTGTCCACTGGGCCCTGGTGAGTGGACTCAGGGACCTGGATCTCGCTCTGTGCCCGCCTGCGCCTGCTCTGGCGTCACCGCTCCTCGGGGGCCGGGCTTGGTGCTCAGCGAGCGGACGTGGGCCTGCTTCGCGGGCGTCTGCTCCTTTCCAGCAAGCAAAGTGTTTCCTTAGCTCCCGGGGTAAAACGTCTCTGCTCCTGGAGTGCGCGTGTGAGCGGGTGTGTGCAGGTGTGTGTGGGGGTGTGGAGGTGTGTGTGGGTGTGCACGGCGGGTGTGCCTGGGTGTGCACAGCACCGGGCCTGCATCACTGTCCAGAGGCCGGTGCCAAGCCAGCCCCATGCAGGGACTGGATTCTGCCGACGGCTGTTCCCCCGGCCCCTGCAGCCCCGTCATCTGTGTGACCCCAACTCCGCGGCACTGTCAGTGTTAAGACGCGTGTCCGTGAGCATCTCCAGCAGCGGCAGCTGCTCTGGCGGCTCTGCCCGGGCCCCACAGGCCTTCAATCGAGCAGGCTCGGCCCCAGAACCGTGCTGGGCGCCCCCCTCCCAGGACCCAGCCTGCCCTCAGGCAAGACCCCAACACCCACGGCAAGGGCTTTGCTACCTGCGAGACCTAGAATTTCCCCAGGGAGCTGGTAGAGAGGGGCAGGCCCAGGCATGGGGTTCCTCTTTTTGGGGGTAGGATGGAGCTTTGTGGGCTCACTGTTTATTGGTGAATTTCAAACCCAAGAGGGTGAATTTAAGGTGGTGGAATGAAGGGGGAGGGAGAGCAGGGGGCGGGAGGAGGGAGAGCCCAGCGAGGAGCACCTGCTGCAGGTGTTGGCAGGCCGGCCGGGGCTGGCGGCTCTCGTCCGGGCACAGGCGGGCTGGCAGAAGGAGCTCTCTCGGGAGTGGGTGCCAGGGCCCCAGAGGTGAAGGGCCCTGGCCACAGAGGGGAAGGTCCCCACGCAGCCCTGCTGCCCCTCCCGTGGCGCGGAGGCCCAAGCGGGTGCCGATAAGGGCAGGTCTGAGGAGACACCAGAGACCGGCTGAGACCGGCGGGGCAGGGAATCGCAGGATCCGTGCCGCGGAGTGGGGGGCACAGGGGAAGTCTGATGGGTCCCCCGTCGGCAGTTTAAATCCCGCTGATGGCGGTGTGCTTTGGTCCTTCTGCCTGTTCTGCTCCTCGCTCTGGCTCTGGTGAATTCTCTCACCCTCCCACGCTTCTGACTGTACCCAGTGTTTGGATAAATAAATAAATAAATCTTTAAAAAATTAAATAAATAAATAAATAAATAAATAAATAAATCCCGCTGATGTCCCTGGGGCCCTGAGGGCCGGAGAGCCGCAGGCACAGCCGAGCACGCACGCTGGTCCGGAAAAGCCGGGGTTCTGCTGTCCCGAGAGAAGACAAGAGCCGCCTCTGAGCCGTCCCCGTGGGGCCCACGGGTCAGATGGGCCAGTGACAGGTGGAGAAGGGACGCCAGACCCCAGGCGAGGAGGCGGCTGGAACTCGCCCTCCGTCTCCTGCGCAGACCACACCCGTGTCCCGGCACGCACCCTCTCGGACCCCGGCTGCGTCCCGCGGCGGCGGCCACGGCCTTCCGATCCGCTTGGCCTCATCCAGAGCCACAGTTTCAGCTCTGGTTGCCCTCGTTGTCCCCCCAAAAGTCCCCACCCCTGCGGGTTTGGGTCAATTTCGTCTCCTCGAGGACCCCCGGTGACCCGAGGTTCGTGGACCTGGCAGGAAGCGCCCTCCTGCCTTTCTGGTGGGGTGCAGCACCCCAGCCGTCAAGGGAATGGTCCGGCGCCCAGGCGTTGCCGCTCGGCCGTGGGGGCCGTGGGCTTTGGCGTCGGCCCGTGGGGCAGAGCCCGCGCTGTGGGGCGGGCGTCTTCCTGAACTCACGCCAGGAAGCGGCAGGAGAGAAGGCGCCCGGCGGGTGTGAGTTCTGCTTCTGCGGGCACCGGCAGGAAGAAAGGCGAGCGCCCACTGGTGGCCCACAGAGTGGGTTTCTGCCAAATGACTGCTGCCCCGACGGAGGACGCCTCCACCGCAGAGGAAAAAGGAAAATGCAGCCACAGTCACCTGAGCATGCAGGACGGTGACCCCCCGCCCCCCGCCCCAGGTCCACCCAGGCCCCCGATGGATGCTTGTCTGGCTTGAACCCAGTTTCCCCATTAAACAGAATCCACGTCACCCCTCTCGTCTCAGGCTCGTCATCCAGCTCAGAGCCATGATCGAAGCGTCCCTGCGAAACGTCTCTCCATGAACTGCTCTGAGGGGGAGGCCACCTTTCCAGAACAAGCAGAAGCAAGCGCGTTGCCCGAAGGTCCACGTGCTTCGTTGTTTGTGACTGAGGGTCTGACTGGGGCTCATTCAAGGGGGTTGACAGGGAATTTGGTTGCAGCGTTTCAAGATCATGGCCAACAAGGTCTCGCCCGTGCGAGGAGCCGGCTTCGCTTCACGGCTCTTTCTTGAGGACAGAGACTGACTCTGAGGAGACACTCAGGGGGCCTCTGAGATCCCCCATTCTCCTTGGGTCCAGAGACTTCTTTCCTCAGACACTTGTATGAAGGCGCCCACTTCAGGAGGGTGACCGCCCCCCGGCACCTGCAGTCCTCACCGTGGCCCGCCCACCCCACCTTGCTCTGCCGGCTCTCCCTCCACAGAGGCGTTACTGAAGTGTGGGTCGCCAGACGTCGACGGCCTGCCCGGCCCAGCTTGGTTCCGGCAGCCCGGCCCCCCGTCAAGGTCCACACAGCCCGATCAGTCACCGACCGAGAAGAACGCACGACCCCAGGCCCTACAAGGCTGCTTTCAAATTCGGCAGGAGCAGGATGCCGGATGGCCCCGGACATTGGGCCCCGTCACCAGGCAGGGCCGGGACCCCCTGGGGGCCGTTGCCTGATGTGGCCTCACGCCCCAGACACGGACCGGCGGACGCTGTGGGGATAAGACGGGACCGTGGCCGGGAGTCGGGCCTGGGTCCCATCCCACCACCGGCCGTCGGGCAGATGAGGAACAGCCGGTCCGCGGTCTCGTGTCCCCCGCAGCCCTGCTGCCGAGAGCACAGTTGCGGATCCCCCCATCTTTCTCCTGGGCCGGCCCGCCCCCCCGACGCCGCGCGATCATGCATCTATAAGGTCAGAGTGCGCGTTCGGCAGGTCCGCCCTGGGCCGCCGGCCCGGCACCGGGTCTCTGTCGGGCGGTGCTGCCGAAGCCGCGGTCACGGGTCCCTGCAGGAGTCCATCAGGATCGGCCACAGGCGGAAGCGACTTGAGCGGCAGCCGCGGTGGCGGGAAAACTCAGCTCCGGAGTCAAGAAGGGCTGGCGGGCGTGCGTGGTACCATGTGCCCAGGGCAGCCCGGCCGTGGCTGGTCTCCCGCCTGCGCGGGGCCTGCTGTCCCGCCGGCGCCCCGCTGTGCCGCCGCGGACAGTCCTTTCCAAACTCACGACAATCTTTTCCTCTTTCCCGGTGGAGCCACGAACTGGCGGGTGACCGCCCCGCGCGCGTCCTGTTCACGGTCCTCTTCCTGCCGAGCCATCCCCGCCCCCGCCGTGGTCAGGAGCCTCACCTCCTCTTAGGGGGTCAGCTCTTACAAACACTTTGCTTTGCTGTCCGTCCACTGAGTAATGCCAGCGCCCTCCCTTGTCTCCCTGAAACTGCGGCTCGGCCCTGCCCCCCACGCTGCCACGAGGGCATCTCCTCTCCCTGGGTCTGCACCCCTCCTTCCGCCCGGCCCTGGGCCCCTGGCCCGCCGTCTGCCCTGCCCTGGACCCCATGCAGGACCCCGGGGGCCTGCTGTGCCTGGGGAGGCTCCTGCCCTGTCGATGTCGGGGTGGGGGACGGGTCGTGGGGGACACTCGAGTTTCTTTCTGAATCCTGACGTGTGGACAGGCCTGCAGCTGCCCGTTCCCTTTTCTTGGCCCCTTATCAGGCCGCTGGTTCCCCGGCCCCGACCACAGCCACGGCGTCTCACTTCCCCGAAGCTCCGACCCCCTTCCCGGCCGCAGGTCTGTCCCTGCCCGCGCCCTGCGGGGCACCCCGGGCGGCCACCCCCAGGGAGCACAGGGGCCCCCACGGCTTCCCCACCCCAGTCACCTCCCAGCATCCTCGCGGGGGGTGAGGGGCTGAACTGTGTCCCCCAGTCATTGCTCCAGCCCTGACTCAGCTCCGCGCCTGCACCTGGGACATGGTCTTCAGAGGTGAAAGGAGGTCCCGGGGGGCCTGATCCGGGGTGACCTCTGGCTGGGTCCTGTGGGAAGGGCTCAGGACACAGGGACCAGGGCCAGGAAACCACGACGGTGTAGCCGGGACACCGAGGCCAGGGCCAGGGCAGGGCCTGGTGCCGGGGGACAGGGCCGGCGGGACTTGAGGGAACCCCTGCTCGGCGCCTCCTCCGGGACCCCCCTTCTCGCGCAGACAGAACAGGAAGCCCCGGGCACAGGAAGCGGCTGCCGCCCTCGGGCTCAGGGGCCCTGCCCGCGGGTCTGCAGCTCGGCTGGGCTCGCGCGGCTGCCCGGGGCGAGGTCCGAGGGCGGGGCCGAGAGCAGAGTGACCACCTCCCCTGGCCGGGCCTCGCGTGGGGTGCGGCCCAGACGCACGGGGGCAGCGGCCCCGAGACAACGGCGGCAGGCGGGCCCGGCGGCTGGGGGCTCGGGGGCAGCGCACGGCCAGGCCTCTGCTCCTCAAAGGGTTGGTTCTTTCCTCCAGGATCCGCTGGTTTCCGTTGTGTCTTTTTTTTTTTTTTTTCTGAGGCGGCTGCTTCAGGACGCGGTGTGATTAGGGAGAGGCTCCCGCCTCTTCAGGACTCGCCTGCCCCACAGCCCCATCGCCCTGGAAGCCACCTCGCGGGTACGTGTGGGGACGGAGGGCAGGAGCCGGCGACCCCAACCCAGGCTGGTCCCGGGGGCCGTGGGGGGTGAAGGGTCCTGGCTGCTCAGCCTCCCGACCCCTGTTCTCTGCCTGGATGGGCGGGAGGAGGCAGGCGGCCCCCAGGAACCCCTCCCTGCCATGGACACCCCAATCCAGGAGCCAGGAGGGATGAGGGAGGGCAGGGGGCTCAGCCTCAGACCCGGGCCCTGCCCCGACACACCCGCCCCCGAGGGTCCCTGCCCTCCGGGTGTCTGGGGCTCTCACCCAGGCCCCGCTGGCCCCCAGGGACGCCCGCCCGGTGGCCATTCCTGCAGGGGAGCTGCGCAGCCAGCAAGGCCTGAGGCCAGAGCAGCTCCCCGGAGCCCACATCCTCCCACTGGGCCCCAGTCAGCCACTGTCTCCACCCCCATCGGGTGACACACGGGCGGGTCCCCGTCCTGCTCCCTGAGATTTCTCAGACCCCAACCCTCAGCCTGCGGAGCCCCGAAGAAGCTGCAGCCCCAACATTTGCCCTACGCCCCACACCAGCTAGTGCCGCCCTGCAGGCCCTGTGACCCGACGTCCCCTGAGAACCGCGAGTGACTCTGCTCAGGGACCGTCCCCTGTGCTGGACACGGGTCTGTGCGACTCCCCGGCCGCCCCACACGGGCCAGGCACAGGCAACAGGAGACGCCCCGGCTCCTCTCCCCACGGGCTAGGGCAGAGCCTGCTGCCCTGCGGTCTTTTATGGCAGTGCCCTTTATGCAGTCTTCATGGCATGTGCCTGCGTGTGCAGGGCGGTGAGCGTGGGTGTGTGCATGGGTATGCACGGGCATGTGTGCCCGGGTGTGCAGATGGGTGTGTCTATGGGTGTGCACGGGTGTGCACACAAGTGCAAGTGTGTGTTCCTGGTGGTGCATGGGGGTGTGCTGCGGTGTGGGGATGCGTGTGCATGGGCGCATGTGTGTGCATGAGCGTGTATTATGGAGGGTGTGTGTGCATGTGCACGGGTTGTGTGGGAGTGTGTGGGCCACTGGGCTGGAAGCAGCGCTGAGGGTGGCCTCACCACGCTGTGCCCGAGCATGAGAGTAACTGCAGGCGAGAGTCGTGATTGCGTCGTGACGTGTCCTGCTCACGCAACTGTGGTGGAGCCCACGTTTATTTGAAAACCTGCCCTTTTCTGGTGTCCACAATAGAATAAAAAATCTGCAGTTCACTCAAGAGAAGAGGCGTGTGGAGGAGCCGAGCCGAGGGAGACCTGACCCCGGGACCGCGGGACCCAGCCTGGTGCAGCCGGTGAGAGGCGCCGGCCCAGGCTCTGTCCGGGCCCTGGAGAGACGGGGCAGGACCTCTCGGGGCTCAGGAGAGACTGGACCTTGGTCAGGCCGGCCCAGCTCCCGGGGCTGCGTCTCGGTGGACGGCAGGTCTGGGGTCCCCCCATGCGCTCCCCTGGTCCTGGCCCGAGTGTCGTGGGGTGTCTGCAGCTGGAGTCGGGGCAGAGACGCCCCCTGACCTCAGAGGCACTGGCCCCTCCCCCCCTCCGTCCACAGGGTGAGCCTGCCCAGGGCCAGCGATGGCAGCTGAACCCTCAAAACAAATATTCCACTTCCCCATCATAATCCCAAGAAGATGGGTGACCCCATCAACACCAAACACAGCCACAAACACGTCGACCAGCAGCTCGTCCTGTGGCGGCGAGGACCTGCCTTTCGTCCACTTCTACAACATCCTCTCCCTGGTGACGGTGCTGGTCAGCGCGTGCGGCGCGGCGGGGAACGGGGCCGTCATCTGGCTGCTGGGCTTCCGCGGGAAGAGGACCCCCTTCTCCGTCTACGTCCTCCACCTGGCCTGCGCCGACGCCGCCTTCCTCCTGAGCAGGAGCGTCCTGCTCACGCTGCTGCTCCTGCGTCTCCACGGACACGTGCTCTGCTGGCTCGTCGACCCGCTCGCCCTCTCCTCGTACCTGGCGGGGCTGGGCCTGCTCGTGGCCATCGGCGCCGAGCGCTGCGTCTCCGTGCTCTGGCCCCTCTGGCACCGGTGCCGCCGGCCCGCCCGCCTCTCCTCCGTGGTGTGCGGCCTCATCTGGGCGCTGTCCCTGTGTGGGGTGATAACATGGCTTTTGTGTGTGCACTTTGTGGGGTTGCCACGGCATAGCTTGCATTTCATCTACTACGTGGCGGTGGCCACCACCTTCCTGCTGCTGTGTGCGTCGGGCCTGACGCTGCTCCTCCGGGCCCGCTGCATCTCCTTGCGCAGACCGCCCACCCGGCTCTACGTGACCGTCCTGCTCAAGGTGCTGGCCTTCCTGCTGCTGGCGCTGCCCTACACTGTGGCCGCCACCGTGTATGTCCTCGCCCCGGCGCTGCCCTATCAGGGCACGCTGTTGCCCATCTTGCGCATCCTCTCAGTCCTGAACAGCCTGGTGAACCCCATCATTTACTTCTTTGTCGGGAGGCACGGGCAGCGGCCGGGCAGGGCCCCCCTCCGAGAGGTGCTCCAGCGGGCGCTGAGGGATGAGGAGGAGGGGGCTGGGCACGGGGGATCCCCCGTCTCCGCAGAAACCACGACGTCCACCTGAACTCAGCCTGGTGCAGCCAGTGAGGGGTGCCAGCCCAGGCTCTGTCCGGGCCCTAGGGAGCCGGGGCAGGAGCTCTCGGGGGCTCAGGAGAGACTGGACCCTGGTCGGGATGGCCCAGCTGCAGGGGCTGCGTCTGGGTGGACGGCAGGTCTGGGGTCCCCCCATCGGCTTCCCTGGTCCTGGCCCCGAGTGTCGTGGGGCGTCTGCAGCTGGAGTCAGTGCAGGGACGTCCCCTGACCTCAGAGGCACTGGACCCTCCCCCCTCTCTGTCCACAGGGTGAGCCTGCCCAGGGCCAGCGATGGTGGCTGAGCCCTCAGACCCCAGCCTGGGGGTCCCTCCCACCCTGGGGACCTGGTCACCAGGCTCAGGCCCCTCGTCTTTTTTCAATGACGTGACACAGAATTGCACGGCTCGTGCCAACGAGAACCAGTCTTACTTACATGTCTATCACGCGGTCTCCCTGGTGACCCTCCTGGTGGGCCTGTGCGGCCTGGCGGGGGACGGGGCCGTCATCTGGCCTCTGGGATTCCGCGTGAAGAGGACCCCCTTCTCCGTCTATGTCCCCCACCTGGCCTGCGCCGACGCCGCCTTCCTCCTGTGTGCCTGTGCCTGGAACACGCTGCTTCCTCTAAATCATCGCATGAAGGAGCCTGTGCTCCTAGAGTTAGTCTGGGACACTTCGTACCTGGCGGGGCTGAGCCTGCTGGTGGCCGTCAGCGCCGAGCGCTGGGTGTCCGTCCTCTGGCCCCTCTGGCCCCGGTGCCGCCGGCCCGCCCGCCTCTCCCCCGTGGTGGGTGGCCTCATCTGGGCGCTGTCCCTGTGTGCAGAAGTGTTTGAACATCTGTGCACTATGGTTTTGGAAAATCCTTGTAACAGAATAGCTGGGTCTATGAGGGTCTGGCCGCCGTCACCTTCCTGGGGCTGTGCGCGTCGGGCCTGACGCTGCTCGTCCGCGTCCAGTGCGGCCCCTGGAGGCGCCGGCCCAGCCGGCTCTACGTGACCCTCCTGCTCAGCGCCCTGGCCTTCCTGCTGCTCGGGCTGCCGTACACCGTGTGCTCCTTTGTCTTCCAAACGTCATCATTTCCTCTGTATCTTCCCCTGGTACGACCCAGCTTACATGTTCTCGTCGTCCTGGACAGCGCGGTGAACCCCATCATTTACTTCTTGTCGGGAGGCACGGGCAGCGGCCGGGCAGGGCCCGCCTCCGAGACGTGCTCCTCGGGCGCTGAGGGATGAGGAGGGGGCTGAACTGAGGGGCTCCCCCATCTTCGGGGAAACCACGGTGTCCACCTGAGCCCCGGGGAGGGGGTCCTCTGTGGGGCCCCAGGGCCTGACCTGTGGCAGGAGTTGTCATTCATAAAGATCTGCGCTCCCGCTGGAGCTCTTCAGCAATTCCTCACGAGAACGAAGCTGGTAGATGGTCGCAGATATTAAAACATTTCATTGATTTTCCAAAGCCCGCTGGCCTTCGAGCCGTGTTCTTTTCCATCCCTGCATCTTCCACGGGAAGCTTCCTCCCCGGGGTGTCGTCTGACCTCCTCGCCCTCGGCCCCAGGGGAGGCGTCCAGGCCCGCGGGCAGGGATGTCCTCACACAGGGTGCCCCGGCCTTTCCCTCTGGACCCGCAGTCTGGGCTCTGCGCTCCCTCAGGGGCTGCCCCTGCAGAGCCCCCTCCAGGGCAGGGGTGCGGCCCCCTGTTCCCCGGAGCGGGTCCTGGACCTGCTCTGTAGGTCTCTCGGCGCCTGGCGCAGGCCTGAGCCCCCGTCCTCGGTCCGTCTGTCTGGGGCCCTGTGTGTCCCTGTCCAAGCCCTGACGCCACGTGCGCGACCCCCGCAGAGCCCGCTCTCCTCCTCCTCCTGAGACCCCCGGCGGAGTCCCCGCTCCCTGCAGCCTCCTCCCTGCTCCCCGGGACCCACAGACGCGTGTTCAGGCTCACCCCTGCCGCTCGGAGGTCCCTGTACCCCAGAGACTCCCGCCCACTCCTAGTGCCCCGCCCAGCACGGAGGGTCTGTGTCTGCACAGGCGGCACCTTTTGCAGGGGCAGGGGCAGAAGATGCCCACCCACTCTGGGGGAGTTAATATCAGTGTCTCCTAAAGAGGACAGGAAAGTGGGGTGCTCTAGCCTTCCAAATATGGACCTGCCAGGTAGGCCCACAGTGTTTTCACCCCTCCTTCCGCCCAGCCGTGGGCCCCTGGCCCGCAGTCTGCCCTGCCCTGGACACTGTGGAGGACCCCAGGGGCCGGACTGTGGCCTGGGGCGGCTCCCGTCCTGTTGATGTGGAGAGCGGGGGTGGGGCGGCTGGTTGTGGGGGACGCTCTAGTTTCTCCCTGAACCCTGATGAGTCTGGACCAGACTGCAGCTGCCAGTTCCCTTTTCTTGGCCCCTTATCAGGCCGCCGGGCCCCCAGCCGGCCCTCGGCCACGGTGTCCTCACTTCCCCTGAGGTTCTGACACCCCCTCCCTGCCCACCGGCAGCTGGTGCCGCGGGCCCGCCTCTGTCCTGTGCCCTGCGGGGTCTGACGCTCAGTGGGTGACGCAGTTCAGCGAGGGGCACCTCCGCACGGAGGGGACACAGGGTCCCCACCCCTCCTGGACATTGGGTCCTGCACACGGGGGCGTCCGTGGGCGCCCCCAGGAGGACGGTGTCTCCGGGGAGCCACACCGGGTGGTCTCAGAAGATTGCACGGAAGCAAAATCTCAGTCTCAAGGTGCCTTGAGGCTGGGGGGTGACAGGCATGGCCGGGGTCAGCGCGGGCGGCAGGGGTGGCCACAGCGTGATGAGAAATGAGGCAGAGCAGGCTCTCCCGGCCAAGGGCAGAGTCGGGGCGGCCCGGCCCAGCCCGGGACCCGCAGGAAGCAGGGGAGGCCGGAGGCTCTGGTCATGAGAAAGAGGCTGTCCCCCGTGTGATCCAACAGGACAAGGGGCCTCCAGAAAGAGCCGGGGTCAGGGAGGGAGACCAGGGCCAGATGCCGCGGAGGGCTGCGGGGTCTGGAGGGACGCGATGGTGGAGCAGGGCGGCCTCACCCCCAGCTGCAGACAGAGGCCACCTGGGGTGGACGCAGGGCCAGGCCGACTACGTCCACTGCCCTGCAGCTGAGCCGCCCCCAAGTGCTCCAGGGAGGACGTGAGGGGGGCTCAGCCTCAGACCCAGGCCCTGCCCAGCCTCCCCCGCCCCGAGGGTCCCTGCCCTCCGCGTGTCTGGGGCTCTGACCTAGACCCTGCTGGCCCCCAGGGACGCCTGCCCGGTGGCCATTCCCGCGGGGGGCTGTGCAGCCAGCAAGGCCTGAGGCCAGAGCAGCCCCCGGGAGCCCACAGCCCCCACTGGGCCCCAGTCAGCCACAATCTCCGTCCCCATCGGGTGACACCGGGGGCAGCACCCCTGCCCTGCACTCTGAGATTGCTCAAGACTGGACAGCCTCAGCCCGCGGAGCCTGAAGAGCCGCAGCCCCACCCCCGCTCTGCACCCCACACCTGCTGGGGCCGCCCTGCGGGCCCCCTGGCCTGGTGTCCCCTGAGAACCGCGAGTGACTCTGCTCAGGGACCGTCCCCTGTGCTGGACACAGGCCTGCATGACCCCCGGGCTGCCCCACATGGGCCAGGGCTGGGGTGCTGGGATCCCCTGCCAGAGCGGGGAGTCCTCCACCCCGTCCTAGGCCCCTGGGCGCCTCTGGTCTCAGAGTCCAGGTGTGGAAGGACCGTGGGCATGAAACAGGTGACACCTGGGGCCTGCACGGGATCCCCAAGTCCCAATGTCCCAAGCTGCTCCTCACTGAGACCCCACGGCCCCCAGAGGGGACAGAACACCGTCCCCGCCTCAGACGAGGACCCAAGGGCAGGGGTGGCAGGAGCAGAGACCCCAGCTCGGGGCAAGGAACTGTGAAGGGGACTGGGGTTGAGGAAACACAGGTCAGAGGACCCCAGAGAGGACCCCCAAGGGTGACACAGGGGTCATTTCCAGGACAAGTGCCCAGAACAGATGCTGGACTTGAGCTAGTGCCCCCCGCACTGATACTCGTGGGGGACGCTCTAGTTTCTCCCTGAACCCTGACGAGTCTGGACCGGCCTGCAGCTGCCAGTTCCCTTTTCTTGGCCCCTTATCAGGCCGCCGGGTCCCCAGCCCGGCCCTCGGCCACGGTGTCCTCACTTCCCCTGAGGTTCCGACACCCCCTCCCTGCCCACCGGCAGCTGGTGCCGCCTCTGTCCTGTGCCCTGCGGGGTCTGACGCTCAGTCGGTGACGCAGCTCAGCGAGGGGCACCTCCGCACGGAGGGGACACAGGGTCCCCACCCCTCCTGGACACCGGGTCCTGCACACGGGGGCGTCCGTGGGCGCCCCCAGGAGGAGGGTATCTCCGGCAGCACCGTGACTCCTGGGCCCAGGGCAGAGGTGGGCACGGTCTGAGCCCCAGTCCTGCTCACTGTCGGCCTCATCCCCCCTTGACTAGCAGTGGGGTTCCAGCCTCCCGTGGGCAGCAACCCCAGTCTGCCTCCTTGCCCTGACCTCATGTGGCTGCACCTCCTTTCTGCCCCTGAGGTTTGAGTGGTCCCCAGAGTCTCCCCCAGCCCTGACCTGACCACACACACACCCCCACCCCCCGCCCCCGCAGGGAGGCCCTGAGGCTGTGGGGCTCTCGCCCTCCCCCCTCACCCACCCCGGGGCTGCACCGCTGTAGCCCCGCCCGCCCTCAGCTCCTGGCCTGGGGACCCTGGACGGAGGCCAAGTGAGAGCTGCAGCAGGGAAGCCCTGAGGACAGACTGGGGGTGGGTGCTGCGGCGCCCAGCTGTCCTTGGGGTGCTCCCTAAGGGGCGTTCGCGAAGGGGAGCTGGCTAAGGACTCCCCGCAGAACCCCACCTTCCCTGCGGCCTCCGCCGTGGCCGCCAGATGGCGCTGCGTTCTCGGGGCCTTGGAGTGTCAGAGTCCGGCCGAGGAAGCTGACTGGCACCCCAACCCAAGCCACCCCCTCTGCAGGTTTTCCGTCCTCCCTGGACGACGGAGGCTCAGGCCAGGTCTCCCCAGGCCAGCCCCTAAGGCCGGGTGAGGCCCCGGGGGGAGTGAGCGCTCAGTCCCCCGGGTTCAGGGACCATGGGAGGAGGGGAGGGGGACTTGACTTTGGGGGGAGTTTCCCCACATCGAGGGGAGGGGGGGCTTCTCTCCTGGGAGGCTGGAAATAGAATGAAGGGAGGAGCAGTTGCAGGTTGCGCCTCGCTGAGCTGGGGTGCCCCGGGTCAGCCCCCACCTTCCAGATCCAAGAAGCAGCTTTGGGGCCCCGTGGGGGCCTGCCCCTGTGTGCCAGCGGCTCAGGATACACAGCCCTGCGGGACCGATGGGGGGGCCCTCTGGCCCCAGGGCCGCTGCTGGCGTACGGGCACCGCCCGAGCCCACACGGGCAGGCGCGTGTGCTCGCTCCTGGAGAGGCGCCCGGTCAGCCACAGCGCAGGGCGGCCACCAGGCCGGACCCCACGCCGCCCGTGCCTGTCTGTGGGAGGCCGGCAGCGCTGAGCCAGCCGCCGAGAGGAGGGAGCGTCGCCCTTGCCTGATGGAGATGGAGCAAGGTGCCCGCCAGCCCGCCCACCCCTACCGGCAGGGCTGCAGGTGTCCCTGGCCGCCCTGACATTGCAACGCCCTCTGTGCCACCTGTCCCCAGCACACCTGTCCCCAGCACGTCCCGCCCACCGCCCGGCTCTGTCTGGCCTGTCTGCCTGGCCTGTGCCCTGGGGCCTCCAGGCAGCGGGCATGTTCTCAGCAACTCAGGTGGCACCTGGCCTAGCTGAGCCCCAAGGAGACCTAGTCATTGGCCCACCTGTCAGCCTCTGTGTCCCTCACCAGAAGGTGCACCCCTCGAGGGCGGGAGGCCATCGCTGTGTCCCCTGTGCTGGACCTGTGCCCGACTGAACCAGGACAGAGCAGGAGGGTCCCTGGGCAGTGATGCTGGCAGTGGGCAGGGGAAGGGGGAGGGGCGGTGGCTGAACCACTGGGCAGAAATGTCTTCAACAGGTTGGAACCAGGCCAGGCTGGTCCCGGTCTCTGAAACCTTCCAGCCGGCCCTAGTCCTGACCACTGACCTGAGCAGGATGTCCAGTAAAGAAGGACTTTGCTCTCTGTGGAACCCAGTCCCCCAGGGTCTTGGGGTCCCCAGCCACCCCTTCCAGCCCATAGACACCCCAGAGCAGCTCAGTGCTGGGCGGGGACACTCTGTGGGGTCCCTGGCCCAAGCTGGGAGCCTGGAGAAGGGACAGA